TATAACTTATCAACTAGGGAAATAATACAAATGTACATAGAATTAGATTCAAAACCAGAAGTAACTAATTCTATAACTTATCAACTAGGGAAATAATACAAATGTACATAGAATTAGATTCAAAACCAGAAGTAACTAATTCTATAACTTATCAACTAGGGAAATAATACAAATGTACATAGAATTAGATTCAAAACCAGAAGTAACTAATTCTATAACTTATCAACTAGGGAAATAATACAAATGTACATAGAATTAGATTCAAAACCAGAAGTAACTAATTCTATAACTTATCAACTAGGGAAATAATACAAATGTACATAGAATTAGATTCAAAACCAGAAGTAACTAATTCTATAAAAAAATAATTATGGCGGTGATCCCCTTTCATAGCTGTACGCCTCTGTCAGCACATGTTCAGTACGTTACTCGTGTTTGGTCCCTTTTGACTTCGTTGATACACTAGCAGGACATGGCCACATATATACTGTTTTTCATGATTTCGATTCTAATCGTGATATCAAGGAAACAACTAGTGATTGCTTGCTGATATCGGACCTCCTCGCTTTCTTTCTTCATACACCGTATGTTTAAGAACAAACAGGACATGTGCTTCATCCTTTTTATTTTGGGTTCCATCGTCTAGATGGAATAAGTTTCAATGAGGTGCAGTAAACATCTTCTTTGTTTGGCTTTCCCCGCCGATTAATCTGATTTTCGAAATAGGTGGTACCTTACTTAGCAATTCTAGTGATTATTTTACACTACATTATTGTTGAGTCAATTGGTTGGCTGTCAGTCCCTGAGGCTTGACACAACCTTGTAGCTGGACTGTCAGTCCCTGAGGCTTGACACAGCCTTGTAGCTGGACTGTCAGTCCCTGAGGCTGGACACAACCTTGTAGCTGGACTGTCAGTCCCTGAGACTTTCAATTCCTGAAGCTGGATTGTCAGTCCCTGATGCTTGACACCACCTTGTAGCTTGGATGTATTCTGACACGGTTTAAGTAAAATTATTCATATGTTTTAGCCAACTGTTACAATCTTGGAACTATTTTCATACAGAGTTTGGACATATATACCATTTGCTGTATTTTTACATATGTTTTGGAACAGTTTTAACATGGATGTTTCATTCATTTTACCTTTATTACGAGTGATGAAGATTAAACATTAATGTACGATATTTCAATTTGGTGAAGTTAATATTTATTTGTTTGTTTAGTTTCTTCGTCAAGTAACTAATATTTAAATGTGCTTACTTACAATGCATTTCATTATTACTTTTTCTTTATACGTCACAAGGTAGTTAAATAAGGGATTTGACTGTCAGTCCCCAACGTTGACCAAAACATTGTTAATAGCATTTATTGTGGCACGTTTTACATGGAAATTGAATTATCTGTTGTAGCATAAAGTTGTAAAATAAAAAGTGTTTTAAAGACAAATTCCGATTTTTTGTGATTTTTACATATTCTGTGATTGGCTTTCGCCATCGTCATGCTACAAAATAACAAGATGCTTTCTTACCAAGTGTTTCTGGTCATTTCTTGACTTTAGACAGTTTACGGAGAGCGGATCCTTCCTCCTACCTGATGTTAACATTATATTTTGTCTTCGAGATAATATGTATAAATCTACCCTTTCTCATGCACATAGTCTGGCCAACTAACTTCACTGGATTTAACATGTTACGTAATAAAGGAAACTATATGCAAGGTGCAGGTTAGCTTATTCTTCCGGAGAGCCATAGTTTTGCCTCCGGATTCTTTTTTTCCGCACAGAATCACGATGTCTTTCGGTTTGGTTTGTAATCTCCTCTCTTTCTGTTAAACTTCAGGGGAGAAACTTCGTCCACAATATCATTCCTTTTGCCCCTAACGCGTAGGCACATTTTATAATCGATTTCGCTTTTCATCCTAGGTTTCTTTCGCGTTTCCGGTTCAACCAGAAGAAACGGTTAAACATAGAAAGTAAACGACATGCGTAGATCTGAACCGAGGCTGACTTTAGGAATATTCGTGTAGATGGAGGGGTCCAGACGTGCCTAACCGAAACTACACTATTTGCGTTATTTCTTTATAAAACAAGGCCAAGCCACATGTAAATTTTAATATACGTTACATAATTTAGTTGACGCGTGAAAGAAGGGCATGGTATTCTTAATACATGTACATTGTTATTTATTCTCCGAAACTGTGCACTTTTTAGCTCTGCCTGTAGTTCGGTCCAAGTGCGTTCGTTTGCCGTGGAATATTTCTGCGCCATCTGAGCCGTTTCAAACGGGATACCTGAATGTGATCCTAGTATGTTCCTCTTAGAACGTATGAGTCCGTGACGTCACTGTTTCTGCTATGGTTTGTGTTGTTATCACAGTAAATGGAACTATGTGCAATTTTCGCAGCATATAGACATGGCCAGTGTGGACAGGCTTTGCAAGGGACACTATCCCCGGATGGAAGTAAACTGACTGAGACTTTGATGAATTAATTGAAACACCTTCAACAGTGTGAATGATAAAAGACATACATGTAGCACAACGAAAATTGTACAGAAATAACAACTTTATTGCAACGTTAACAGTTAAATATATTACTTCGTTATATATAATACTTAACAATCAACAAGTTAACAGCACATCCGGTTCCTGAGTAGTAAAGACACAAAGGGTGTGTACACCCAGCCCACGATCAGTTTTCGACTTTTGGTTACGTGTAAACTTTAAACTGCTTTCCCGATGAGGTTCATACATTGTAGTTCCTATTACTACTCAATTCGGTTCATAGTCTTATAAACCGAAACGAAGTTTACTCGGTTCATATACATGAGTGGCATTATAGCATTATACATAAACCGTCATTTATTCTCTTAATTTACACAAACATTCTTTATGTACATAATCACAGCATCGGTATGAAAAACAAATGGTTACACAACTTAGAAAGTGTCTTTAGTTTTTCGCTAGTGTAGAAATTAGCCATCACATACAAAATACAACAGCGCATAATGAGAAGGAAATTGATCAATCATCGACTCTATAAAACCGAATTCTTACATAGAGAAAGGAGGTAAGTACTGAACCTGTACAACACCAATCGGGAACCGTCGATATTTTCTCGTTTACGGAAAGTGCCGACGGTTCCCGATTGGTACAACACACGCAGCCATTACCGCAACGGTTACCTGGTTATCTCCCTTCATACACTACACCGCTGAGCGTTCATCGTACACATACACTTACGTTATATCAGTCTCGTATATAATCATCGTCCTATCCCAATACTGACATTCGAGCAATAATATCACAGCGATGCCGAATACACTTCTGCATGCTAAGTTACAAAATTGACACGCTTCTATTTACATGACTGACACCGTGACACTATGAGCCGGGGAATATAACGTGGAGATAAATCAATACGACACATATCAAATATGAAAGACATGTGGCATATTTTCGCTTACTTGTTAGGTTTACCCCCAAAACAAAGAGATACAAATGCATCTACAGGTATTCCTGTGAAGACAAACAAATATTCACCTAATGATGCTGCCGAAATATATAAGTGATAAATAAAGTATATACCAAGTTAACTTTCTCATTTAATTTATGGTCTTTAAGTCATTCACAGCAATCATCCAGTATGATGTATATCAAATTGTTTATAATGAATTATTTCTGATTTTTTTTTACTTGAATACAGCGAAACGCTCATAATAAATAATATGAAATTAAATGGCTTTTTAATTTAACCTCCTTTCTGAGTTAAAAATCGGTCTGCGAACATACCATGCATATTGATTCAGTTTCGTCCAAGGTAGACGTGTTAGCATTTAATTATTTAAAAACAAACTCCTGCATGTTAACTGTATATATAAACTTGATATAAAAATGCAAACAACTGGGATTTAACAGACCCGATTATCTAGTAACCCCTGTAGTCCAGCAGGACAATGTGAGACGGACTGGTTAATGAAATTTCACCCTGACAAATGCAATATACTCAACATTACACCGAAAGGCAACAAAATACAACATGACTACAAACTTCACAACCACACTTTACACCAATTAGAATCCAGCAAATACTTAGACTTAACATTACAACAATAGCCTACGATGGGACAAACATATTAACAACATCACAGCTAATGCCAATAGGTCCCCAGGTCTTCTAAAACGCAACTTAAATTAAACTCACCACATATAAAAGAACAGGCATACAAAGCACGAGTCAGACCAAAACTCGAATACTGCTCTTCCATTTGGGATCCACACAACACACACCAAACAAATAGAAAAAAACACAACGAAGAGCAGCACGCTACGTAAACAACAGATACCACAACACTAGCTCCGTAACAGATATGATCCACAACTACAATGGCCAACACTACAAACACGGCGCTTTCACACAAGAATGATCCTTTTTTTTTTTACAACATTGTACACCAAATCGTAGCTATAAACCCAACATATATACTCACACCCGTAGACCTCAAACCAGAGATGCAAACCCTCACGCATACACACACATATCTGCTACACATATTCATTCTTCTTCTTTAGGGACCACATATTCATTCTCTCCACACACAATTACACAATGGAATCTCCTTCCAATAGCAGCAGTACAATGCACAAAACTAGAGGACTTATCAAGGCACACATACCCTATGCAGCCCTTGAAGCCCTTACCACACGCTAAAACATACGCAGCTTTTATCTTTTTATCCATACCTTGCACTAACACAACCCCCCCCCCCCCAAAAACTAATCACTGTAAATAACCCCTTTTTCACGCCTCTGTGATAGGACCTCGAGGGCATAATCGTCATTATTGATGGAGGCCCTACACCTAAAGGAGAAGAAGAAGATCTCCAAGGGTTTAGAGCGTAAAAAACATGGGAAAACAGGAACAGCGCATGGAACCCTGGGAGAGATCAGTGGCACGCCTGTATCAAAGGTCAAAGGTTATTGACTCCTATGGTCTGTAGACTCTGTAAGGAATGCTTTCTTTTCTGCATTGGTGTCGTATAAAACAACAATGTCCTCCACTTTCTCGGACGTCAGTGTTGGCTTCTGATCTTGACAAACTCTGGCCTTCGAATCCTGTTGCGTGAACAACGCCATTAACAGCCCAGAGAAGAATGAAAGAAAATGCATCATTCCTGAAATAAAAGTTAACATCATATTAAACATACTAAACAATTAAGTGTACATATAAAGCAATGTATACCACAAGACGACGCAGCTTTATATTTGGAAGCAATACACAGAATATTATGGTATTCGAATCCCTGCAAAATATGAGTTATAAATTAAACATGAATCATAATCTTTCACAGGGTACAACAATCTAGGTAGCGCTACATACGATGTTGGTGTACGTTGTATGTAGGAATTACAGCTTTGTACACAAAAACCCAGGTATATATTGATATTGTTTAAAGTTAACAGCTCGCGGTAAACTGATCGGAATAAACATTTATTTTCCTGTTCACCTTTATCATGCGTGATCAGTGAATTGCAAAGCAACCACGTCACTTCAAAGCACCGCCTAGCAATACAACGACACATGCCAATTCACTGTGAAAATACACTGTATAAGCTTCCTGTGAAAATACACTGTATAAGCTTCCTGTGAAAATACACTGTATAAGCTTCCAGTGAAAATACACTGTATAAGCTTCCTGTGATTTCACAGTTGCTACTTACTGGGTTTGAAAGCAACAAATATGATGAAATGTGAAGTTATCATAATCAGGTGTCCATCTGCAGTTATAAATGCTGTCAATATGTTTTTATTACAAAGACACACCCATAAGTTACATAACTGCGTCGTTTACATGTTGTAAAGTTAACTCTTTCGAGTGAGTCGATCGAACAAACATCTTCACTAGAGCATGGTAGATTTTATGCATTTTAGTTAAACGCGTGACTTTAAAAAAATGATTACGAAAGCGAATTTATCAGGAACCTAAGACTATAACTATAACTAGTTCAGGGTTGTAAGGTACATAGCACTAGTAAACTATAGATAGACTCATCCTTTCTCAGGTAATTATAGAGTAAAAAACAACTTTGGTCATTGGTATATTTGATCAACGAGCTAGAACATGTACGATGTGTCTATAAAGGGAACTTGTCAGCAACAAGTTTTGTTCACAAGTCTGAGTGAAAAGTTCATTTCGTATGTATATACCTCATTAAACACGAAAGTCGCAACAAATTGTTTATTTAATTCTGAAAATTGTTAATATTTCTCTTTACCAGAAAAGCCACGGGCGAGCAGCTCATTTAATTTTGAAATTAAAAAAAGATTTCATACCGCAGAAACCTCAGGCTGGTAAGTAGAAGTTTTAATTTTCTTTCTTGTTCATGATAATATTTTGCGTTCAATTTATAGAGCCTCTCGCTAAACTATAAACTTGTAATAGAAGAGAAAAGTAGATGCTATCTATTTATGACAAATGAACATTTTTGGCAGCTGATAATAGGGCATAAAATACTTCCATATTTAATTAAAAAACAAATTGGTACACTGACGTAAGTTGAATAGAATAGACTTCACCTTTACCTCAACACTCTTATATAGCTATCACACGATTTAATTAACCCACTCCTAACTGCTTTTCATGTAAATATGTTAAACGTGTCATTTGGTATGGAGCTCGTATAGAAAAAGTAAAGCATGTCAAAGTAAAATACAGGTAGCATATACATGTATCCTTATGTTGAAACTTCTGATTTATTGATCTAGAGCATTGTTATTCTGTTACGTTTCCCCGGTAACCATCTGTTTACTGAGTTAAACTGTTGGCATGGAGACAACTGGTCGCCATCCCTTCGCAATCACAACACATGTTCTAGCCGCCAGTACATGAAAGCACCTGTTGGACAGGTAATGGAGATAAAAACTGATATGAATGGTCTATATTAGGAAAGTGTGATCAATTCGACGTTACGATAATAAGGCCAGTCGATATTGCTCAATTACTCAAAGGCTAATCACAAGGTTGTTTTCACATTCTAGTGCACTCAGGGACGTTTCATCAGGGACATACACAGTAAATAAATCTCGTCAGCCATGTTAATTAAAAATGCAGTCTAATTTTCTACCACGCCTCAGTATCTGTCGTCATCTTTATGAGTAAAACAGGCTGCGTTGTACACGGATTATATGATTACAGGATTTTCTAATTTCTATAAGTATTGTCATAATTTAGCGACTAAGGTCAGATTCGTAAGCGGTGGAGGTATACATTATTACCGCCAACGAAATAAAGCCAATCTACGAAACAAAATAACAAAAAAACACAACGAAAACCTGCTAGAGCGAACTTATAGCCTTGTCGATGTATAGTAAACCTTCGTTATACCAGTACTGTCATGATTTGTCAAGCGTTGCTATTTGTGTTATAAAGAAGTTTGTGAAACGAGATCCGTTAAATGAATTAAATTAATAGAATTTCAAAATTGCCATGGTCCCCACGCAATTTAGGCACATATACATGCATTAATGACTTTTAAGGGGGTAGGCTCACATGTGCTTCAGCCCTTATGTACGAGGGCCATTCAATACATTATGTTACCACTCAGCTCCCATACGAAGTGGTTATAGTGCTGTAAAACATTAAAAGAACAATGCACGTGCAAAATTTCGACATCATCCGACAATAATTAAACAAGTTATGCATTGTTGAATGGTATGCACTCGTGACTAGTGGCTACTTTTCAATGCTAAAATGAGGGAAGTGAAAAATCTGAAATACGCACTTTGTCAAAGCACGGCGTGCTTTACAGATACCGTCAAAACACGCATACAGGCTTGTGGAACATAAAAGCACAAACGGCACCTCTGCCGTCACATTGATTACCGGTTTCAGGCAGGCTTGGTTTGGTTTGATTTTGTTTAACGTCCTATTAACATCTAAGGGCATTTAAGAAGGTGCCGCTATGTGTGTTGTGTAAGCTTGCAAGTGTATGTGTGCTGGAGACAGGGTATGTAGGTGTGCTTGCATCCTTGTAATAGCGCGGATCTGATGCCAACATTATAGTGCTATCTCACTGAAACACCATGCCGAAGGCACCCAGCACAGCATTCCACCCGGTCGCATTATACAGACAACGGATGAAACAGTTGTTGTAATTTCTATCTATACTGAACGTTTAGCAGGGAATAACAACTACCATTTAAATGACGTTGGTATGTCCTGACCTGGGGACATAACACATTGCCTTTCTTATCTGTGCGAACGCTTAACATTAAAGCCAGCAGAAGTGAGGTATTGTCAAGCAAGGTGCTAGGAAGTAAAAGGTAGATAGAAGAAGAAAGAACGACAAAGATTCCAAATGTTGCAGTGGGTGGAGCATAATTATTTTGGTCGCCTTTGTGTCTCCGAGTAGAGGGCACAAAAGCAAATCCTCAATTCTGCAGGGGTTCCCACACAAGTTGTCTTTTACAATGCATGCAGTGGGTGACCGCAGGTGTATTCTTTTCTCGATCCCCGACATGAAGGGATGTTTCAGGTGGGTAAACAAATTCAAGAACGGTAAAGTTGATATTAAAAAGTCCACACACGGCCAAGCAGGCCAGTTATTGCAGCATCAAAGATTGCTATGGTTAGGTTTAGTATTATTGTTTAACGTCCTATCAACAGTTATGGTAATTTAAGGACGGCCTCCCCTGTTTGCAAGATACATGCGTGTAGTGTATGCATGTGTGGTTTGGGAGGCTAGTTATGTTTGTGTTTGTCGCCTTGTGATAGCTCGGAACTGATGCCGACTTTATAGTACTACCTCACTGAAACATACTGCCGAAGACACCCAGCAGGACACCCCATGCCGTCACATTATACTGACAACGGGGGAACCAGTCGTCCCACTCTTAAATTGCTGAGTGTTAAGCAGGAGTAGAAACTCCCATTTTTACAGACTCTGGTATGGCCTTCCTCACAGGGGCAAACGCTCAACTAAAGACCAAAGTGAGGCAGCAGGTATAATTCGTACGCCCTACCTTCAGGAACATGCAGCGTCAAAGAAGATCATCACTGCTGTGAAAGCAATAATTAAGAAGAAAGGTCATCAAACTGTTTCAGAAATAGCTCATATGGTTTGCATTTCAGAAGGCAGTACACGTCGAATTTTGACCAAGTGCTTGAAATTAACGAGGCTTTGTATTCGATGGATCCCCATTTTGCTGATATCTGAACAAAGGCCAAACGTTTAAAATGTGTTAAAATATATTGAAAAAGTACGGTTATAACGACTCAAGCAAGCTATGTGACTGACTTACAGGGGGCGAGGCCCAGATCTTTTACTTTGAAGCCCTGAGGCGCGGTAATAATAATATAAGCAATGGTTGTCGAGAAATCAAGAAAGGCCGGTGATTGCAAGATGTATAAAAGGCGCGAAGAAATGTATGCATGCCACTTTATCAATTTTGTGGGTCTTTGGATCAGATACTGTGCAAGGAAGAGAAAACCATCACAGCTAAGTGTTATAGAGACAAAGTAATGTGTACAAAGATTCTACATAAAGAACCGTCAACGTAACATGCTGAATAGCATCTATTCACCATATAAATATAGGTCCCTGAAACTTCTTCCTGTTTTGGGGGAATTGTATAGCGAAAGTGTGTTTCTGCTAAAGCTAGACACTTCGAAGGATTGTAATAGATCGTTGATGTGATTCCTGACACAGGCGACATAATGTATTGAATTGCACTCACTAATTTACATTGTACACACATACAGTTCTATTTTAATGCTTCGTGTAGCAACATTTTTTTTTTGATATTTGGGGATATATGTGTATTTATGTATTCTAATTTCTTACCTGCGTACCCAAATACGTAACTAAATTTGTCCATTCCATTCATCATGTAACCTGAAAATAGAAAGGAAATAATCGGTCTGAATGCATTCACATTTGTCAAGTTGTGGTGATTGTTATGATTGATATTCCGAACAAGTATAATTGCATTAGTGCCAGTTCAGAACTGTACAGCATTATTCGAATACCTGCTATAATCCCATGTTTATTTCCTGTATATTGTATTTATATACATTTCGGTGCATCAATTACAGTATTATACCTGGAACCCCCTACGAGTTCAGTTTCCGTGGATGCTTTATCAAGTACCATCAACTTACTGAAAACAATAAGTCTACATTTAGAACAATCATATACAGACATTGCGGTTTTCATGATACATCGCCGATAATTAAGCCAATTAGAAGTCATCATTAACAAATTACAGTGCTATTGTTGTTCACATTGCCACATTGGCCGTCAACAATTTAACACAATAATATTTGTGCAATTGTACCAATCAGTAGTTACACTGTATGTGACATTTGGATAGAGTTTGTTAATTCGACCAACCAGAAATCGTGTTGTATATAACAACGCGGGTAAAAGGGCGTAATATATATATATATTATGCACATTGTAGTATCTTACGGAAGCCGGTACGGGTAACCGAGAAAACAATTGCTATGTCGTGATATCGACTGACTGTTTCGTACTAAAGAAATAGCTATGTCGTTATTACAATATGCAAAAATGTAGCAAGTCGTTATTACAAGAACATAATAATAAGTTGGTATTACGACATAACATTGATTTTCTCTATGGCCCGTACCGGCTTCCGTAGTATCCACACTCAACGTCAATAATTGACCAATCAGTGACCATGTAACATAAAAATGTAGTATTCCTCGCTGACAATTACACCAATCAGGGTAATGAAACATTACAAAACAGTATTCCACACTCACCACATATAATTGGACCCGACAGGAAGCCAAGTCCAGCAGCAGCCATCTCAATAGAAAACCCACTGGCCAGGTTTTGAATCCCTACTAGTTCCACGGTGATCGGACCGAGTAGTGTCCATGATCCTCCCGTATAGAGGCCAAATAGGGAGGAGAAGCAGGCCTTGCTCCAGTAGCTCGTGCAATAAAATGGTGAGGTCAAGGTCAGCACACCAATCACTCCGTACGATCCAAAGTACAATAACTGCCGGTCTACACCACCGTCAACGGCGGCAATTCCAACCAGAACACGTGATATTATGCTTCCTATCCCAATCAATGACGTCAGAAAGGCAGCTTCCACCATACTTGATCCGGTTGAATGATAAAAATCCGTCACATACAAAGTGACAATAGATAAAGATTTACACCATAAGAATATGCTCACACAGAAAATAAGAAACGACATTTTACCCAATATCCTTGCATCATCAAACAATCGTTTACACAGGGAAGGTTTACTTATTTCCCTCCGTCTCTGTGCCTCGGAGTATAACGCCCGTTCTGTCCGGCCCGGGGCGATAATGGTACCGAACACACACGTCTGAAAGCCAACAGCTGATAAAATTAGGAATGTACCCTTTAGGCCATACCCGTCCACAAGGATCTGAGTGAGGGACGGAAAGACTACCATACCCACAGCAAATCCTGCCACCACTACTCCTGTAGCTAAACTTCTCTGCTTTCCGAAGTAAAAACCAACCACTACGAAAGAGCCAGTGTAAACGAACGCCTGACCGGTACCTGTAGAAGAAAAGAAATTCGATTGTCTGAATGGATTGGTTAAAACAGTTTGTATTCCCATCTTCGTCTATGTCTGATGTAGCCGAATGTGTAACGCAATTAACTCGTGACAAGACAAAGTGAACGTGCAGGTTCGAATCCACGTTCAGGTTTTGTTTTGTTTTTGTTTGTTTTATATTTAGACATGTGATATTTTTCCTTAATTAATTAATAGAATATTTTTCAAATCAAAAGTACATTTAATTTATATTTTAATTACATACCTAATGATTTATCTTCTATGGAATCATGCCAACAAATCACTGTACACGTGTACAGTACAGCAACGCTTTGTCGATAAGACATCATCTTAAAAGTTATTTATGAATTATTTTTACCTCGAATTGGCACTAGTAATCTTATCTATTATTTGAACACAAACAACTGATGCTGAAATACAAAACAAAACAAAACAAACAATATGAAGTGTTATTATCACAAATATATTACCAAAAATTCGGGAAACTAATCGTTGAGGATAGTTTCATTTGTTTGAAATGCAGGAAGACTGCAGAACAAAGTAAGAATCGCAATACACGCTGGATGCATGCTATTCGAAAATATATATATCATCTTGCCATTCATATGTACAGAAAAAACAATATCAAGATGTGTTTTTTGTAAGAAAGCAGGTAACGGCATGACGCAGGAAGTAGTAATGATAATTGAATCCTACGATTGTTACATACAGCATATTATTTGTTTTAAATTCATAGAAATAACGCGAAATAAGCATTTTGTTGAGTCTTTATCGTGAAACGCATGCATCAATAGCCATGGCCTTGAAATGCAGAAACTTTTAGATTCATTATATTTATTTAACCTAGAATGGAAGTTAAAACTCAGTATCTCCAAAACCAAGATTGTTATCTTTCGATAAAATGGACCTACAACAACCAGGAGGTCGATATCGTAAATGAATTCAATTATTTGGGAATGTTGATGAATTTTAACGGAAAGTTCAATGTTACCCAGAAACATATTGCTAACCAGGAAAGAAAAGCTTTATTTGCAATTAATAGCAAATCAAAGAAAAATAATTTTAATATTGGTACAAAATGTTTAGTGTTTGATACATGTGTCAACAGCATACTCGAGTATGGAAGCGAGATATGGGGCTTTCATAAAGCACCAGAGATAGAAAAGTTCCATTCTGGGTTTTGTAAACGATTGCTTGGTGTCAACAAAAGTACAGGTACTGATTTTGTATATTACGAGCTTGGTAGACAGTCACGTTACATAAATAGAAAGTTAAAAGTTATAAAATACTGGTTAAAATTAAAAGAACCTAAAAATTGTATATTGGCCACATGTTAAGAAGAGCGATTAATAATGAATGATGATTGGATAAACAATATTAAACAAGAACTAGATAAACTTGGTTTATCTTACTTTTGGACTAGTGATACGATAAATGGTGATATGTACAAAGTAGTAGAACGATTTAAAGATTGTTACACCCAGGAAATGAGAGCAAGAATTATAAATGCTCCCAGAGCTGACCTATACAAACATCTAATTGATCATTTTTGCATGCAATATTATTTACTGAAACCTCTTGATAATTTATATAAAAAATCTATAACCAGTATTAGATTGTCATCACACCAGTTAAAAGTCTATAGCCAGTATTAGATTGTCATCACACCAGTTAAAAATCTATAGCCAGTTTTAGATTGTCATCACACCAGTTAAAAGTCTATTGCCAGTTTTAGATTGTCATCACACCAGTTAAAAGTCTATAGCCAGTATTAGATTGTCATCACACCAGTTAAAAGTCTATAGCCAGTTTTAGATTGTCATCACACCAGTTAAAAATCTATAGCCAGTAAAAAGTCTATAGCCAGTTTTAGATTGTCATCACACCAGTTAAAAGTCTATTGCCAGTATTAGATTGTCATCACACCAGTTAAACATCTATAGCCAGTTTTAGATTGTCATCACACCAGTTAAAAGTCTATAGCCAGTATTAGATTGTCATCACACCAGTTAAACATCTATAGCCAGTTTTAGATTGTCATCACACCAGTTAAAAATCTATAGCCAGTAAAAAGTCTATAGCCAGTATTAGATTGTCATCACACCAGTTAAAAGTCTATAGCCAGTATTAGATTGTCATCACACCAGTTAAAAATCTATAGCCAGTTTTAGATTGTCATCACACCAGTTAAAAATCTATAGCCAGTAAAAAGTCTATAGCCAGTATTAGATTGTCATCACACCAGTTAAAAGTCTATAGCCAGTATTAGATTGTCATCACACCAGTTAAAAACCGAAAACGGCCGCTATCATTAACGCTTGTGCAACTGTTAAGTATAAATAATGTTAAGGAACTAAATAATCGTGGAAAATATATTCATTTTGCCGTTGAGAAAAGAAAAACACACTTTGGCTAAAAGTGAATATTATCGTTATATACCTCACATATGTATTTCAGGTATATTTCGAATTCAAAGAAAAGCATGTCATCGCTGAAAACGAATTATTACTTTTACTTCTGTCTGTCTGTATAATAGTAGTATGATTGCTGATGTTGTACAACATATATTTATTATTAAACTTAAGCAATAAGTGGTACATAAGTGGTAGATTGACTCAGCACTAATGTAATCCCATTCAAGGTAACATTGGCGCATCTCTGTCAGTATGTGTTTGTTAAGTTAAATTTAACTTAAATTAATTTTTCTTGTACTGCTATGTCTGTGATGTATCTTATACATACATGTTAATGTTACCCTCTGTGTTCGGTATGCTTGTCATGCGAGATCACTCTCCAAATACGTATGCAATAGGTATATGTTTTGTAATCATGTATACCTTAGCATTCTGCCGTTAAGAAAAGAAAAACATACTTTGGATAAAAGCGAATGTTATCGTTAAACACCTTTCATCTGTATTTCATGTATTATTTCGAATGCAAAGAAAAGCATGCCTTCACTGTAATTATTACTTATACTTCTTTCTGTGTGTGTGTGTGTGTGTGTGTGTGTGTGTGTGTGTGTCTGTCTGTCTGTATAAGACAAGTATTAATTATGTGTTTGTGTATCTTATATATCTATGTTACTTTCTGTGTTCTGTATGCATGAGAGATCACTCTCCAAATATGCATGTAATATTATGTATAATATTTATGTATACGTAAGGCCCCGGAATAAACTTGAATTGTATTGAATTGATTTCGGCTGATTACATTAATCTATTCTTAGACACAGGATTCCGATATAGCTACCTGTATAAAAAATACCTGAGGACGTGTCATAACAGTATTCGGTGGCACGCGCGCACTAGCGGTCTCACTTTTGGGGAAATAGGTATAGGAACCCGTCATAGGTCTTTGTCAAAAAATAATAATTCATTGATCTGGATCACATAGTGTCCTTCTTTCAATGTTTAAGAAACTCTGTACGTATCTTTTACCTATGACCACTACACCTGTATAGATTTTCATTTCTTCTTTAAAATTCAACGACATGATATAAAACTTCAATGAAGAGATAAGAAGATAAGTATCGTGCCGGAGAAAAAGGGGTAACCGACCTCATGGTTCGGAGACTGGCACTGTGGATCATAGCTATATATATATATATAGGATGTTACGAAATAACGCGGGAAAAGGGAGGGAGCGCATGGCGGATGAGTTGGCCTGGGGTGGGTACTGACACCACGGGGTACCTGTTACCGGGATGGACCGCCTGGTGGGTGAGTTGCCCTGGGGTGGGTACTGACACCACGGGGGTACCTAATACCGGGAGGGACCGCCTGGTGGGTGAGTTGCCCTGGGGTGGGTACTGACACCACGGGGTACCTGTTACCGGGAGGGACCGCCTGGTGGGTGAGTTGGCCTAGGGTGGGAGCTGACACCTTGGGGTACCTGGTAACGGGAGGGTTCCACCTGGTGGGCGATTTGCCCTGGGATGGTGGCTGACACCATGGTGTACCTGGTACCGGGATGGACCGCCTGGCGGGTGAGTTGCCCTGGGGTGGTAAGTGACACCTTGGGGTACCTGGTAACGGGAGGGACGGCCTGGCGGGTGAGTTGCTCTGTGGTTGGGGCTGACACCACGGGTTACATGGTACCGGGTGGTATGGATAAATTGGGATGATGGGCGAGTTGCTCCATCACCATAGCACTACTCCTTATTTCTCTCAACAAGGCGATACATGTATATTATAGATACTTAAATGTTCGAATGGTCGAAGCAGTTGGCACACTGCTGGTTTGATGTAGAATAGCGCTTCTGTGTATGTGTACCTTTCTTATCCATGTAACACCGCTCTGGTATGTCCGTAAACCAAGTGGTGCAAAACGTACCCGCTATTATTCCGTAAGTGATATACAGGACGTATATGTTGCTGGCCAAGCTGGACACTCCAAATCCTATTAGGTTAAGTACAGCTCCACAGATGATGCACGCACGACAGCTTACTGTATTGATTACCACTCCGGCCAAAGGAGCTGGAAAATAAATGACGTCATCAAAATGGTGAAGGTGAATAGGAAGAAGTCGGGACGTCAATGATAACAGATGAAGATGTTTGAGTGATAGAGATACTTATTAAAGGGGTAAAACTGGATCGTTTATATGGAGGGAAGGGGCAACAGCTACTGAAATATGACGTGAAGAGTGGGTGATGACATGTGTACGCATCCAATACGAACATCACAACGGACCTGGCGAAAGTTGAAGGGACGGGAGGCGACGCATGTAACGGAGATAGACAAAAGGATGACAATAGTAATTATACACAAGGTCTACTACAAAAAATAGGGCAGTCGTGGATGTGTCGTACAGAATTCGGATGTTTTGCGGCGAGAAATGCGGTCAAAGACTGTTGTCATAAAGTTTTGGACATGTTAAAATTTTACTTCAACGATGTTGGTTTTTCTCGGCGTCAGGCCCATTCCGTAGACCCGTAGTTCTATACCTTACGATGTTCTACGGCTATAATGTAACCATATACCGACACATTTCTCATGTTTTAATTAAGGTCTGGGGCCCTACGAATCGTAAAAGTTTCCAACGATAGTTCTAAAATTGCCCGATGTTAAAACCCACAGCAGTTCTGTGAAGGTTCCATCAACGTTTAATATGTACTTCCTGTCTGCTACTGCCATAGCTTGGGTCCACGATATTAATGGTATATCAATCGTACGAGTTGGCCGGTTGGCGCAGTGGACAACGAACTCGACTTTCAGGCGGCCGGGGTTCGATTCCCCGATCGGACTTGAAAAGATATCGGGTCACCTGCCTTACCATGGGGTTTTTCTCTTGGTACTCCAATTTCCTCCCACATTAAGACCTCCATCCGCGCGCTTATATCCAGGCTAACAAGAGACATACTATCAGTGTCGCACGCCAACCAAATCTCCGAGGATTGTTGTACGACGGCCTTTTCTGTCTTGCAACAATCGACAGTCGTACATATAAACTCATTTTATGTGTGAACGCTACTGCTCAGCTTTCAAATCAAAATATAATTAAGGCTCTTCTGTAAAAGCTGCAATAAAGTCGTAGTTAGAATGCTATGGAGGCGTAAATAAGGGATACAATGGATGTTGAATAATGGATGTGCTTTTGTTTTGTATGACTTTAACATTTTTTTTTTGTAAACGCGCTAATACCAGGTATTATAAAGCATTGTAAGGTCCATAAACCTTTTACGAAACCGTTCACCTAGTACAATGTATGCACAGCGCTGACTGCTAGGCGCCTTTCTGTACAGAACTTTAACAGCAATACAAATACATGTAGAAGTGCATCAGATGGTGCACAGCAGGTACAGTATAATATACAAACTCCGCGTAGGTGAACATCCATGTAAACAGGTTTTGTTTATTAATTCATCTCCGCGACTAGATATAATGGAACATTTTTATAACATGATCCAACAACACCGATTAAATATGAACGTTGTAGCTTTCGGTCCATAAAATTACCCCCTTCTCATGTTTTACATATATGTACAGTCAGCCATTGTTATGCGGAATTGAATTGGGCATGCATTGCGTAGGCTGCCTTTGTGATGTCGAAGTGGAAAGGACATTGTGACAGAGTGGCTTTGTTATGTCGAAGAGGATGGGATATTGTGTTACTGAGTGGCTTTGTTATGTCGAAGAGGATGGGATATTGTGACAGAGTGCTTTTGTTATCTCGAAAAGGACGATGCATTGTGTATAATCACTGTGTTATATCCTAAGCGACGGGATATTTGACAACATAATTTTGTAATGTCGAAGTGGATGGGGCATTGTACAGAATTGCTTTCTTATGTCTAAGTGGATAGGATATTGTACATAATGACTCTGGTATATCGAAGAAGATAGAACATTGTACAGAATGACTCTGGTATATCGACGAAGATAGGACATTGTACAGAATGACTCTGGTATATCGAAGAAGATAGGACATTGTACATATTGATTTTGTTATGTCGAAGTTCAATAGGATATTGCACTGAATGACTGTATAACATGTATATTGATGCGGGTGAGACATTGTTCACAATAACATGTATATGTCGAAGTGGCGAAGAAAATGGGATACTATATAGAATAACTTTGTTATTTCGAAATGGTTGGGACATTGTGTAGACCAACTTTTGTATAATGGTGATATTATACAAAACAACTGTGTTTCATGTATATTGAAGTAGATGGGATGATTTGGACGGACATTGATCAGAACGATTTTTTTATGTCGAGGTGAATTGGGACACTGTGCAGACCAACCTTGTTATTTCTAAATGGTTGGGACATTGTGCGAACCGACCTTGTAAGGTCCAAGGGCTTGGGACATTGTACAGACTACAAAACGATCGAAGTTAACACATTTCGCTGTTCTCTGTTTACATATGCTTACATAGAAGGTACTACAACAATGATAGTCCATATGAGCGTTATTTATTATGAGAATGATATCAAATGCTAAAATAAAAATCATTAGTCGCTGCCTTTGTCATTGCGTATAGAACGTCGCTGTCTTACACGTAACCCCTACACCGTAACTGACGTACACGTAACCCATAGTTCGTAAATGCCCGGCCTTAACCGTTACTGTCCTACAGGTAACCCATAGTTCGTAAATGCCCGGCCTTAACCGTTACTGTCCTACACGTATCCATAGTTCGTAAATGCCCGGCCTTAACCGTTACTGTCCTATATGTAACCCATAGTTCGTAAATGTCCGGCCTTAACCGTTACTGCCCTACACGTAACCCCTAGTTCGTAAATGCCCGGCCTAAACCGTTTCTGTCCTACATTTACCCCCTGATCGTAACTGGCCTACATTTACCCCCAGACCGTAACTGGCCTACATTTACCTCCTAGACCGTAACTGACCTACACTTTCCCTATAGATCGTAAATACCCTACAATTACCTCCTATACCTTAAGTGTCCTTCACTTACCCCCTAGACCGTAATTGTCGCACACTACCCCCTAGACCGGAACTGACCTACACTTATATATAATTACCCTCTTGATCGTAAATTTCCTACAATTTGCACCCAGATCGTTAATTTCCTACAATTTACCCCCAAACCGTTACTGTCCTACACGTGACCCCTTGACCATAAACGTCATACACTTACCCGATAGACCGAAAATACCCTACATTTACTCCCTATACCGTAACTGTCCTACATTCACTCCCTATATCGTAAATGTCCTTCATTTTCCGCCTCGACCGCAACTGGCCTACACTTACCCCATATATCTTAAATGCTCTACAATTACCTCCTCGACCTTAATTGTCCTTCACCTACCCCCTATACCGTGCTTACCTACACTTACCTCATATATACCGTTACTACCCTACACCTACTCCTTAGACCGTAACTGACCTACACCTAACCCCTTCACGTTTATTGGCATACCTTTACCCTCTAGACCGTAACTGTCCTACACTTACCCCCTAGACAGAAGCAGGCGTTGAAAAGTGCTCCGGTCCAGGTAGTGACGGGAATGGATTCCTGAAAGAGATCCAGCAGAGCGATGTGAATTATCCCTGTTGCCGACATCAGACTCGAGCCAAAGAACATGGTAAGGAAGGCCGACACCAGCACAACATGGCGTTCGGGGATACATCGCCCGTCCTCACGCCACCCCGCCATTAGGACAGCTGTCTGGTCTGGCCTGTAGGTTTAAAAAAAAGCTGTTGTAGCGGATCACATGCCTCGCAGGACGTTCCCCGACCTTCAGCAATCATCTAGTTCACAGCCACAGAGGCAGCATAGCATATAGCGTCTTCACGGTCTGGTTAGCTTAACGCGATATGTAGATTTCTCAGAAGTTCTACTAAACATAATTTCGAACTTTGAATATAAAATGCTGTATTGTGTTGATATTCTAAAACTGTATTTATATATAATAAAAGACATCATTCATTTTCTTCAATACGATCGTTAATTATGCTTAGCACAAAACCTTACCGTCAAGACGTTAACTTATTACGTATCAAAGGTAACCCACGTGTTTCGAGCGTGTACTCATTTAATGTGTATGTACACGTCTGTACATACATATATATATATATTATATGTTTGCTAGACGATTTCCTTGTATACTTCAGGTTATATGGCGTCGACGTCATCACCACAAATCCTATTTTTTCTGTGTGATTTCATGTATCACGTTGCATCAAATTTAAAATTCACGTTTTAATCTAAGCCTCTAAATATAACATTCGTAATAGTAAACTGCAAACGCGTAAGACAGCTTCAGAACGAACTACGTCCGCGATCATTGTTCGACTTCATACACCTCGTCAACATATATAATTTTAACATGATGTGTACATTTTGTATAATATTATATTCGATTAACGAATCTTTATCACATCATGATATCATTAAAAATACTTCGTTGTTTCATTTAAGTAAATGTCCAGCCAACTTAGATTTATGAGACACTACACTATACACGTATAGATTTACATATTTGTAGTTTACTGATAAACAGCAATGTTTTTCTTCCGCCAGTATCACACAACTGACAGGTACACTCCTTCGACGGTATACCATTACATCGACCGAATTTTATTGCCAATGGTTAGACTGTCTTTATACGTGTACAGCAATAGTGTCTCATAAATCTAAGGTGGCTGGACATTTACTTTAATGAAACAACGAAGAAGTTTTAATGATATCGTGATGTGATAAAGTTTCGTTTATCGAATACAATATTATACACATCATGTTAAAATTGTATAATGTTGACGAGGTACATGTAATCGAAATAATATGTTTTACGGCACGGCCGTTAGTGAGGGCGGAGCCAGGTTGTACTGTAAATGTTTCGGAATATCGGTACTGTAAACTTTCAAGCATTGAGTGATGTGTTGAATGACTAAAGCAGACCTACATGTATAGCTATACATTGTATATTACAGTTAAGTTTCCTTTCTTGATTTCTTTTTGGCTAACAAGATGTTTGATATCTTGAAGTTTTCCGCCTAGGCGTATAATGACATGACATTAATGTGAGAATGCGAAAGGTTCATTAGACTCTATATAAGTATTTAAATTTGCATCTCTTGAATCCATTGCAAAAATCAAGTGCAGCATATTCTACAAAGACATTGAAATAAAACATATTACGATGGATATTGTTAATCATGTATAATAGCATAGGTATCTGATATCCATGAAAAGATATACATATATATATATATATCTTCACGAATAAGCCCTTTGGATTACTTCAAACTTAACTTCAATGATTTATAAATATTGCATCCAGAGAGAATTTATGCAAAGTATTTTACAATTTTTGTGCTTTTTATGTGTAAAAATTAATTTGTTCAATGCTATAAAAACTGGATTTATATGAAGTTTCTATTAAAATAAGAAGCATATGCGAAATCACAATTTTTGTCATTTTTCAATACCCATCATTGCAGCCAAGAGAGTCAATAGATCTATATATCATATATATATTGTGGATGAATACATTTGTTTCAGTAACTTACTGACCATATGCTTTATATGTCTCTGCTTTATGTATTGTTTTAGCAATAGAGAAAATGTATTGTTTCCTCAATTAGAATTTGAATCATAAAATTGTATAGTTTTTTTTTTTAAATCGAGCAGATTTGTAAAACAGCAGATTTTCTTTTATTTATAAAAAATAGCTGTGAGATAGTAATCAAAAATGAAAATGTTACAGTATGGATTCAATTTTTTTTCTTCAGTCTATTTTTTTATGCAAAATATCAATAAAAAAAATCTTATGAAAATACTTGTATGTTTTTTATCCTATCATTTTGCGTCACTGGGATAAACTCCCTTTTTGTTAACAACCAGCACGTTGTTTTGTTGATATTCCGTTTTCTAAATATATATATATACCACTGCAATCTCTACCCAGAGTTGTCGTCGGGAGTGCAAGGACCGTAACTCTGCGTGATAGTCTCGTTCAACCAGACTCTTGTTGTCTGCGCAAGCGTCTGATTGAACGAGACTACACTGCCGATACAATAATATTTCGACCATTCAGAACTAGAGCAATGTAGCCGGTAACGTTATGTCAAGAGAATTTACATCTTTAACCAAATCAAATATTTAAGTATCCTATAGTTAGATATAAGTTTTAAATCTTACAAAAATGTAACGTTTGTTCGAGATTCGGCAAACGAGAACTTGTTTCGAGATCAAGATGGCGGAGACTACAGCGCGTGCGACTGGCGGCCATGTTAAGACAAGTTTTTCAGTTCCATAGGTATTGTGAATAATCTTTATTTTTCTTACATACGTGTTACCTATAGGGAGAGCTTCGCTCTCACGGGCCCTAGAGCTCCGCCCTCTATTAATAAAATGCAAATGGGATAACTTCAAAATTCCAACTGTATCGGACTATCGGCTGCGGAACAACTTTTATTGGGAAAATAAATCTACATGAATCCTATGAGGTATTCTTACTTTTGGAGAAATTCTTCACTTTATCCGGACGTCTGCTCATCAAATCCTTCGCGGCGTCCATTTAAAAAAAGTCTTGGTCGTGAACATGCTTATTTCTTTTACTTTCATACTAAGTTCAAACGTTCAGACGACCTGGCTCAACACATTTTGCGGCGCCCATTTTTGAAAAGTGACTAATCATCAAAAAGAGGCGGTCCGGAATTCATTACAATAATCTATTACATTTTCGGTCCGGATCAATACGGTTTGTTGACTTAATCAATCCCGTGTAATTGCATAACCTACAAAATGGCGCCGCTTAGGTGGGACATTTTAAACGATTGAATACTGAAGACTGTACCACTACTGACGGAACGTAACAGTCGTTGGTGATAATTAGCGCGTTGTTGGATCAATTATAAATCCATTTATCGATATATGCTAGGTATGTGTATGTGTTGTGTCATACCAATTTTTTGTCAGTACCTTAAAACGTACCGCTTCCAAACGGTATCGGAGACAATTCCAAGTTTACATCTGGTAGTGAGCTCTGGACAAAAACCAGACATTTATCCATCAAAAATGTCTTAAGTCTGGTGTCGAAGACGGCGGAACCTGGGCTTATACTTCAGCCACGACACATGGCCTATACAGGTCATGTGTTAACTATAATTGAACAGATCATGTGACCTAGTCCGCTAAATCCGACAATAATCGCTCAACAATTCTTATCGATCGTCTGTTTATGGTCAGCTATTGACTGCTCTATAGAACACGGGGATTTGTCGTCGAAATCTGACGACAGCGATTGTGAGCGTTTTACATGTTTGTTAGAGAAAATATTTATACCTATATTTCAGTTGATGTCATGTCCGTACTCGATACATTATGGACGCTACATCGTTTTATTCAATTGAGGTGCTTTCGTTTGCTCACATCGACAGCCATTTTGCCAACATCAACAATAGGGCGCACTTGCCCATCAAAATTACTTCCGGTTAATTTGATCAAATGTAAACATTGGTTACGCAGTGATCTTTTAGCAAACATAAAGTACTTTAGCACGTTGGATTTATATATATTTATTACATTAATTAGGAATATCAAAATAACTCTGATAGTTCTAGCACTTCTCAGCATTATAATTACGAAAACAACTCGATCGCGAGGAAAAGGAAAACTAGAACACGTGTTTTTGTCGTCAACAAGTCGAATTGCCGGAAGCAATTCTGATTGGCAAATACAAACATTGTATTGATGTCTGCAATATGGCTGTCGATGTGAGCAGGCGCAATTGAGGTGCTTTCGTTTGCTCCGTATTTGCTCCATATGTTGTAAAGCGCCTTAGAGTAATTTTATAAATTATATAGGGCGCTATATAAATGTTGTATATTATTTTCTTATTATAGGGGTTCAGTACGACAATCTACATGATCGGGCAGGATTGGGCCATTTTCGGTGGATTATACCGTTATTTTGACAGGAAAATTGCATTTTGTGATATATTTTAATCTCTACAAGGCAATCATAATTGTAAGTTACATGTATACCTACCTAAAATAGTTTAATTTTACCTGTCAAAACAAGACAAATACACTGTACACGTACTTGTAGTTTACAATATACATATTTGACACTTAATATCATGAGCTTCCTGGTAGTGTACAATAACAGTAAAATTTCATTTGAAATATCCGTACATAGAGATTTATTCCTTCCTAAATCAGATTAATTTTACCTGTCACAACAAGACACATATTTTTAATGTACAACACTTGATTATCATAAACTTCCTATAAACGTTTTTAAAAACACTTATTTCTGTGGCTGATGTGGCGAAATGTTAAAATTTAAGACGTTCTATATAAATTATATCTTTTAAGGCTACAACTGGCAATGCTCTCAATTTGCGTAATATGCATATATACATAAATATATATAGGGTGGTTTGTACGTGACGTCTGTGTCAAGAGCCTAAACTGCAGACGTGAAAGGTGGGTCTCTATATCCTTCTAACTGAGCCAGGTTTTTTGTGTTCCTGATAGTAAATGGTAAGCTATTCCACAACGTGACTGAAACCCTCCCACAGCACAATTTCAATAGGTCACAGTACGAGAGTTTGGGACTCACAACAATGATTCGGTCTCTGACCGCAGTGATCGTGACGGCTGATACAAGGTTACAAGCGCCTGTAAATACTGGAGAGCTGTTCCATTCGGTGCCTTGAACATGGATGTATGTGCACACCAAAATTGTGCACTGCGACCTGTATCGTACAGGTAACCAGTGCAATGAATCAACCACAGGTGTGTATGCTCACTCTTTTAAGTTCGATTGACCAGACGTGGTGCAGTGTGCTGGACACTGTGCAGACGACTAGTTAGTTTATCAGATATATAACAGGGCAGAGCATTTCCATAGTCCAGCCGAGAAGTAACAAGCGAATGCATCAAACTATTGCATGCATCTGCAGTAATAAACTGCCGGATACAGAGGAGGTTCCTGATCTGGTAATGTCAGGATTGGTAATAGCTTCTCCATGTTTAGTGGACTAGGGTTTTTAACAGTTGAGACAGTCTCAATAGTTCAAGCAATGACCTCGATTTGGAGAGCCATTGTTTGCTGACACTTGAGAAAAAGACGACGAGTTCCGTTTTTTCCCATATCCATGTATTGATGTCTGTCAGACAAGCTTACAGATTTTCTGATATGGTATCCCCACTTTCTGTGGTTAAATGACCATGGAAATGTGTGTGTCGTCAGCATCACAATGATAGCGAAGGCTATGGCGACGACAAATCTCTACGATCGGTGGTGTTGCATATAGGCAATATTATCGTGGTCCTAACACCGAGCCTTGATGACCCCCAAAAACTGTCATGTGAGGTGGTAGATCCTATGGCAACACACTGTCGTTGTTCACTCAAATAAGACTGTATCGAGCACAATGCGTCCTCAGTCATTCCATAAGAGTACTCTTGAAGTGTGTTAAGTGTGCCATGGTCGATGACGTCAAATGTACCTGACGTTCCCAGCGTGGCAAGCACCACGTTGCACGTGTGCACGTAGGAGGGCCGTCTAAGTAGCGGTAGACCCATTGCAGGATGTCATGTGGACTGTTTGCACGGCGACGAACCTCTAAACGCCGGGACACATCCGTATCTAAAATCTTACACGGGAAAGGTATATTTGGTACTGGGCGATAGTTCTGCAACCCCTCCTAGTACAAATATATGTACCATGTTTACGGTACACGTACGCTTGTGCATAGATCGATCTATCAATATCAGTACACGCATGCTCTGTTTAAACTGTAATCATTTCAACCAATGTACACGCGTGATACTTTATTGGAAACTCCAAAAAAGTACCTAACGGTTTTATTTGGCTATTACTGGACCACTCGACATTTATTAAGTCCCCAGATCCTGAACAGTCGAACAAGACTTATTCCACCAAAGTTTGATACACATATGGACATTATCATCGTACGTACCAACAATATTTATAAACATGGTGTACGGGGCCGAAAAGTGCCCGCCCAACGGAATTTGTCAATTTATCCGGATTTAAAAACTCGCTATACCACATTTTGACATATTTATAGTTCCAAATGTTCGAACTTCGACTTCGACTTAACACAAACGGGTTTTGTTTTTATTTCGGTTATACATGTAATATGTGTCATATAGAACATGTTTCTTGTGTTATAAACTTTCAAAACCTAGCAACTTTCACTCCAGCCCGAACGGTTTTCGTTCCACACAAACGAGTACGACACGTGCAAGCTTCAGGCCATCCCTGAAAGACGCGTTGATGGTGTTTATAACAAAACCAGGTTTTCTCTTTCGGAATGTTTTTTTTTTACTATTTGTGGATTATTTATTGAGATTCGGAATTCTATCCTAGCTTCCCTCGAGATTGCCGTACCTTCTCTCTTCCCACAGGCACTTACTTTCAGAAACAGCTAAATATGCCACATGTTATATACTAGTAAACCAACCCACAAAAGACATTTTTTGAAATCTACAAGAAGACGTTATTTGCCGATCAGCTAAAACACAAAATCGATTGTGCACGTGCAGTTATGTTCATACGCGTGCGTACCACGAAACACTGATCCGCTACAGACACAAAAACAAAATTCGGAAAATGCTCGCCCATATTAATAAACAATGGTTTCATTACAGAACACCCAGTTTTCTACAAAGTACAACGTAATTCATCCATAAACAACGTTTTATTTGGCTAATAAGGTGGTTTGAAATCATTTTTTCCCCCGAACCGGTGTTTTAGTGATTTTGCCGTTAATTCACTTATCAAGAATAGTGGTGTGTATGTACGTATGTGTGTATGTATGTATGCTAGATATATGTGTTTATGATATGTGTGGGGATGCATACATGGAAGAAATAGCTGAGTTGCTTACATAATAATAAATCAATTGAATTCTGATTTATTATCTTATGACGTCTTTGAATAAGATTCTTAATCAATGACTTTTGTATTCATATAATAAAATATATCATATTAAAGTAAGTCATGCGGATGGTCTTTCCCGATATAAACAGTCTAATGGAAACAGATATACAAGGAGGACAAGAATGAACAGGAGAATGACGTATTTAGGCACGGGATGTCACGGACAATTCATCACTAACAGTGTATGGAATGTGAACAGTCTATCACAACGACTGTCTGCGTAAGGAAAAACATCCACATGATTATCATAGAGTATATTATATATGTTCGATCTTACTTATATGCATATATATACCTTTCTTGAAATAATCTGAAAATCAACCATAAAGTGTTTTAACGATGAGGCAACAGAAGGATTTTTCTTGACCACAATGTACTAATTTTATGAGAATAACGTATTTTGTACATGTACTATATTTTATACTGCATTTCCCCAACTCTCTTCTATCTTCCCCTGTAATTTATTCACGTCACTATCCCTAAGCTATAGTTCAAGTTGTTAATGTTGGTTACGATGAAAGGTAACAAATTTATATAAGTGTATTAGCACTTGTTTCTGTCTCCAATTCATTTATGTTTAATCATGTTTGTAATAGTATTATATATGTTATGTGAATAAAACAAAGTTTTAACTAATTCACTTAACACACTTCTTCTGTTACTTTCAAGAACAACGCCATATTGACAGGTTTGTACATACAAATGTAATATATATTCGTCCGCGCAATAAACTCGTGCTGTCTGATTCGTTAGATATTTATGAATCATAAACGCAACAACTGTGACACTTGTGATATGATTTCAACCAAGTGAATCTCATGGCCATAGCGATAAAATATCATTTTGTTAACCTGATACTTACGATGTACGACATGTCCTATTACAGTGTATACTCTGAACTCTTCTGAACTCTTCTGACTCGGAGCGATACTATTTAAACAAACAAAATGGCGCTTTCCCTTGAAAAAAATATGACGTCATCATGCTATGACGTTATACCATTTCATGATGGAAATTGATTTCAGAAATTGGCAGCATCATGATAAACAGATGAACATTTTTTCGATTTTTTTCGATATAAAAATACCCCTAACGTACTCAATCAATACATACACAGAATGCTGAAATACGACCGTATTCAATGTATACACGTGTAAAAGATGTGTATTGATAAGGTTGTCTTACGAGCGTCAGCTATAGGGAATTTCCTTTAGCTCAGCGGTAGAGCATCGGGGTGGAGAGCCAAGGGTCGTGGGCTCGAGTCCCAGCGACGACACGTTCTTTATCACTATTTCTCGTCCTACTACAAACGGGTGCCGTTGAACCTCCCCATTCAAGGTAGGAGAACTATTGGCTGGGAGTTAAAAAACCTGGGTCGGTGTTTGAGAAAAAGGGGGAGTGGATAGTGTAAAAGATGTGCATTAATTAGGTTGTCTTACAAGCTTCAACTGTAGGGAATTTTGGGCTGGAGAGCCAAGGGTCGCGAGCACGAGCACCAGCGACACTATCTTTATCACTATTACTCGTACTACTACAAACAGAACGCTAAAACCCGACCATACTCTGTCCGTACAAAGAACGCTGAACCGCGACCAAACACTGTCCGTACACAGAACGCTGAAACTGGGCCATACACTGTCCAAACACAGAACGCTGAAAACCGATCATACTTAGTCCATACACAGAGCGCTGAAAACCGATCATATTCAGTCAATACACAGAGCGCTGAAAACCGATCATACACAGTCCATATACAGAACACTGGAACACGATCATACTTAGTCCATACACAGAGCGCTGAAAACCGGTCATATTCAGTCAATACACAGAGCGCTGAAAACGACCATACTGATCAGTCCATACACAGAACGCTGAAAACCGATCATACACAGTCCATATACAGAACGCTGAAAACCGATCATACTTAGTCCATACACAGAGCGCTGAAAACCTATCATATTCAGTCAATACACAGAGCGCTGAAAACCGCTCATACACAGTCCATATACAGAACGCTGAAAACCGATCATACTTAGTCCATACACAGAGCGCTGAAAACCTATCATATTCAGTCAATACACAGAGCGCTGAAAACCGATCATACACAGTCCATATACAGAACGCTGAAACACGATCATACTTAGTCCATACACAGAGCGCTGAAAACCGACCATATTCAGTCAATACACAGAGCGCTGAAAACCGACCATACTGATCAGTCCATACACAGAACGATGAAACACGATCATACTTAGTCCATACACAGAACGCTACACGAACATACTCAGTCTATTCAAATGACGTTGGAACCTAACCATAATCAGTCCATACACAAAACGCCGAGATACAATCATACTCAGTCTTTATACAGAGCGCTGAAAACCGAGTATAATAAGTCCATACACAGAGCACTGAAAACCGACCTTACACAGTCAATACACAGAACGTTGAAAACTTACCTTACACAGTCCATACACAGAACGACGAAACATGACCATTCTCAGTCCAAACACAGAACGATGAAACACGAACCTAATCAGTCCACACACAAAAACCTTTACTACATTTTGTATCTTTAGCCTGGTCAGTTTTATTCATGCCGAGATTTTTTTAAGAAACAAGTCTGCTTTATACGATGGCCGATAGCAGCCGACACAATAACAAAACAACTACAATATAAGACATTTGTGTACATGTACACTTTTTAAAAACTGTACATGTACACAATACAACTACAAGTGCTATTAACATTCCTTAACGGTTCGGGTCAACTTGATATTTCACACGTGCCTGATGCGGCGGTGAGTTAAAGACCAAACGACAAGGAAAGGAAATATGTTCATAAATCAGCGAAGAGGCGATAAAGGTCACCACACAGTGTTGCTACGTAGACTGTACAACATATTTCACTAGTTGATGCTTGAAGGCGACTTAATCTCATTACCTGAAAATGGATAAACTAGGAAAGTTTGACATTAGTAATTATAAAGTATTTAATTTTTTTTAATCTTTTCTTTGTATGTTGATTGGTCTTATGTCCTATTTTTGATTTGAAAGAAATGTAACAGACATAAACCATCGTTATATGCATATCTATGTGGGCTTTACCTAATGTATGGATTGGAGTCATAAAGAAGAACGTTGCATTGTTCAGTGTGAATAGTTGAGTACTAAAGTCAAATATGATATAATACTTACTGTAACAAAAGTTGTATGTAGATTGTTCTGAGAGAAATAACTAGTGTTTTATACCAAAGGCTTTAGCCTTCAAACTTGTGAATATGTCACATGGAACACTTTAAATTACGTATTTTGGGTTATTGAGTTAAAATTATAGTTCTATATACAAATTAAGTAACTACATGTTTTTGTTTTGTCTCCAACCATTACTCCAAAAATCACATACAAATTATATGATATTTGGTATACCTCTGATTTGTGACCGTCTAGTACTGTTTGACATCTGGGGAATCTAGTAATTTCCTTGTCGTTTATTAGCCGCCGTATCAGACACGTGTGAAATATCAAGTTGATCCGAACCTTTAAGGAATGTTAATAGCATTGCAGTTGTATTGTGTACATGTACAGTTTTTAAAAAGTGTACATGTACATAAATGTCTTATATTGTAGTTGTTTTGTGTCGGCTGCTATCGGCCATCGTAGCTTTACGCTAGGCAGACTTATTTAATTACTATCAAATAGTACCAATACTGCGCACGTATCGCATATACTGGAAATACAATGCTGACACCGTTGTATTTACTAATTGAGTGACACTAATCGATAAATGGTATGCAGTTACATAACAGGTGTCCAGAAAGCATTTACAGCATGGTGTCATGTCCTCGAGTGTGTAAATGGACAGACAGATATAAATAGTTGAGGTCAATTAAGAACGGAGGGTAAACGAACTTGAGCAAGAACATCTAATCTTTCTGCATTTTAGAGTTTAACCTTTTCTGATATACAATGTATATCACCGCTATGTATATATGAATATATTTTTACCATTCTACAATTAAAATCGATGTATCGATCACTTATACATGTACATGGAATCGATTTGAAAGTAATTGTTTGCTTTACGAAATTAAGGTTGGACAGTACGTCCATTAAACTGTTTGTTTTGGTTAATGATTAATCTTCTAACTGTTGAAATGTTGCCTTTGGAAACATACGAGTCAATACCATTTGAGCAATTTACCTGTACCTACCTATATTGTACCGCACACCGCGTACAACGTATATCACCTGATAAACGGGGTCATTCTACACAAGTAAATCTCTTCAATATTTTCAGTGCATTTTACCTAAAGCTGAAAAGGCTTATGTTTTCTTAGGCTTGTAATTCTCACGTTTAGTTCTCCCGTTACTCTGTTATTTTATCATCTATTAATGACAGCTTCAGTTTGTTAAATGTTTAGGTTTATAATAGGTCATAGTCTGTCAAAAAATTTAAGATGATTTCTTGGGTGAAGAGTTATCAGAATTAATAGAATACATGACCTTGCCACACTTTCAATGTGACCAGGATCAAATACGTTCAAACCCTCAAACAATTTCTTCTTAAAATCTGTGAGGGCAAGAGTTGTAATACTCGGCCTGTGGCTTGCAGGGATACCACGCTCCCAAGTGTGTTTAAATGTATCACCTACATCAGGCATTGAAAGCTACACAAGTAAACAAGGTTAAGTCCACCACTAAAGATATGTAGTGTAATGATATTTTTCCTGACCTTTTCGGCCACTTATCAAGGTGCCACGGTGGCTAAATGGTTTACGGTGTCTGACATTCTGCTATCACTAGCACTCCACCATTGGGTCGCGGGTTCGAGGCCTACGTTGGGCAGTCTCCAGGTACAGACTGTTTGTCGGTGGTTTTTTCTTTGGGAATTCCGGTTTTACTCCACCACCAAAACCTGGCACGTTCTTAAATGACCATATCTGTTAATAGGACATAACACACAAACAAAAGGCTACTTAGATTTGCCTTGACCCAATTTGAGAAACCGTTTGCTAAAATATTGAATAACAAATGAGCGATAAAGACCCATTAGGCCTTTGTTATATGCATTTGATCATTTTCCCAATTAGAGTTAAGGTTATGAACACTAAAAAAAAGAAAACTATTGATGATCAATGCGGCTGGAAGGCGAATGTTGTGCAAAGTCTGTCGAATTGCCTCATAGTAATTTCTTATTGCAATTAATCCGGTAAATATTGACCGACAACTATTGATTGACTGGTACCTTGAACGCTTAATTGTTTCAGCTACGTCAGACAAATCGACCATCTGATCGTTTGCGTTTATTATTTATCTCGACAGAAGCTTAAGATATGCTAAATCAAATTTTCAACCCCCCCCCCCCCCCTTTATTCAAAGTTAAAAATAAAAAAAACATGAATATGTTTGGGAATTTTACATGAAAATGTTATTTGAAATTCATAGATATGAATATTTTATTTCATTTTTTTTTTAATATTTCAAAAAATTCCATTTACTTTAATGTGTCACTGGTAAGATTATGGATCTATGAACCAGAAAGCGTAATTGAACGTACCCGTCACGTAACACTTATCATGCATGTATGACATACTTGTCACGCAATCTGAAAGTGCATCCAGCATGATACTTACACACAGGTAGCACTAGCGTGCCCATCGTGAAAGGCTTGCGGTGACACTTTGAACACTGGCTCCAAAAAAAGTTTTAGATTCCTTTTCGTAAGAACTCGTCTGTGTTCTTGTAAACATCTACCACTATACTAGCTTTACTTTATATAATATCACATTCTTCAGCAAAAGATCTGTTGATACTTATCGTCTTACACTGAATTAAGCAAAACTGTCATTTCAGTGAGCTCCGGGTAACTATCACTTATTTCAGTGATACTGTACCTAGTGTTTGTATACATAATGCTTTCCTCACTTACTCTAGGTGATAAGTC